GAACTGAAGCCCCGTCGAAGTGCGCCGCGCGGGGGCGCCCGAGTCATGCGGGACCCCGCTCAGCGCCCGGGACTTCTGGGAAATGTAGTCCCTGGAGCCGGCAGGGCTGGGAGGAGGCCGGCGCGTTTGATGCTCCGGGAGTTGTAGTTCTTTATGGGCCTTGAAGGGACGGGTTTTCAAAATCTTCAGACTTCAGTAGCTGGGGAAGGAATAATTTGGGAGACGGATACTTTTTGTTTTCTCCAAAGGTGAAAAATAAGTTCTTATTATTTTTTTTATTTTCCTTAATATCTTTTTTATTTTATTTATTTTGATTGAAAAATTACTTCTTAAATCCCTAGTTGGCCATAGTCTTCCTAGCCTAATTTATGAGACAACCAGGTTACATTCATAGTATAGTTTTATATTTCTAAATTTACGAGTCCGCTTTAAAAAAAATCCTCACCCAAGGATTCGTTCATTTTCGTTCATTGACTTTTAGAGGGGAAGAGAGGAGAGAGGGAAAGAAACATCAATGCGCCAGGAGCATACCAGAGGCAACAGTTAGCTATATCTCTCTCACATCGACGTTTCTCTCTACTTCTCTGTCTTCGCCTTCCTTCCTCTCCAAAATAAATTTTAAAAAGATGGTTAAAGTGCTTAATTTTGTGTAATGTGTATTTTGCCACAGTAAAAAGAATATTTTAGCCCAGGCTGGGTAGCTCAGTTGGTTGGAGCATCCTTCCAATACACCAAGGTTACAGGATTGATTGATTGATTCCCCATGAGGGCACATACAGGACTCAACCCACAAATGCATAAATAAGTGGAACAACAAAATCGATGTTTCTCTGTCTCTTCCCCCTCCTTTCCACTCTAAAAATCAATGGGAAAATATCCTCGGGTGAGGATTAACAACAACAAAACAAATGGATGTCTCGCTCTCAAATCAATTAAAACTATTTTTAAAAAAAGAAGCTGGTTCTCTGAAGAAAATGACTTTTGGTTTATGTTTTCCTTTCCACTCCTTATCATCTTGACTTGCTCTTATCTTTCAGGGAGCCATTGCAACAGCCTCCTGATCTTGCCTCTAGTCTTTCTTCTCCAGGTCATTCTGCATCTAAAATACCATTCAGATGAAAGGGAATTTTAGAATCCTTCTTTCCTTGGTTCCTTAGATAGCTCTGTGAGGGAGACTGGGCAAGGGTCTTCCAGAAACCCTGAAGTTTGATAACAGGTTGAAAGCCAGTGCTGGTTCAATTATTCATTCATTCTCTAAACATTTATCAAATTCCAGGCATCATGACACAAAGTATTCAGCACAAAATCCCCCTCCTCCCAGCTTGCACCTCTATCACATTGCAGTGGCTTTCCCGTTCTTGGCTTTTCCATAAAAGCTGAAGGAGATCCTAAAAACTCCCCTTCTCTTCTGTCTCCCATCTCCTCACCCCCTGGGTGGTGCTTAGGTTGACCTGCCCCCTCCTTGCTGGCAATTTGAAGGTGGGTAGCGGGGTAGGTCCGTGAGGAAGCTGTGGGAACAGCTGTCTGGCTCAGGCAACACAGCCACACACAGTACCCTCTGTCTGACAGGTTAGCTGCACCCCTACACCCACGGTGGACCCTGAATGGGGCAGAGAGGGCAGCCAGGGTTATTAGAGGGGCCTTCTTGTGGTAGTGGGGGAAGTGGGCACAGAATGGTATCTGGTGGTGGCTCTACTGGTGAGGGAGACCTGAGAGCTAAACTTGTTAGGTTCAGATCAGGGACAAGGATTTCCTAGTTCACCCTGCTTTCTGGGGGGCCAGAACTTTGTGTGGGGGGCTCTACAAAGCTTCAATGGCAGAAGTGAAGAGGGCAGCAGTAGTGGCGGTGCTGTAGGCAGTGAGACAGACATGAGCAGAGCAAGGACAAGGGGTCAGGTACAGAAGGTCACCAGGACGGAAAGCCCCATGTGCCTAGCAATGGACAATTGTAGGGTGACTTTTCCTCCCTAGCATATCCTTGGTCCATGAGGTTAAGACTCCCTGACCTTTCCTCTCTAGAGATAACATCTAGGCCTCAGTTGTATTTCAGCTCCCAGCCCAGAAAAGCAACAAAACCAGCCACCGCTGACGTCAGGACTAGCTGCATGGAATAATGACACCCCTGCCCTGGTGCTGGCCAACCAATTAGTGGAGACTACAACCCTGAATGGACACACCTGGCAAACTGCTAATGTTTTATTAAGATATTTCCCTGGGACTCCCCTAAAATCTCCACCCTTAAAACCCTTAGGGTGGAGGACCCAGCACGCTCTCTCTCCCAGGAGGGAGCCTTTCCCTTTCCCTTCCCGCTCTCTCTCTTCATCCCCAAATCCCAAGCTCCAAGGGCCCTTCCTTTACATCTGGAACTTGTTTGCTAAGCCCATTTCTTCTAGCCGTTACTTTTTCTACCTCTGTGATCTACCCAAGAAATGTTCTCTTACAGTTTGGTCTTGCTCTGAATTCTTTCCTAGCCAGAACCCAAGTACCGAGGTTGCTGAACCAGTACCAAGGTTGGTCTGACCCCACCTGTCAGACACCTGGTGCCTTCAGCCGACAACAATGAGCGTGAGGAAGGGGTAGGATGGGCAGTCAGGAGGTCTGAGATTCCAGGTGTTTTATCAAGTGGTGCTCCTGGAGAGCTGCCATCCCACCTCACCCATGGGCGAATTTTTCGGTCAGACCAATATCAGGTCAGACTCTAGGACTCCTGCTTATCACAAGGAGTCAGAGGCTGAGGGTGGGGTTCTGGTATCCGTAGCACTGCGAAGTGTGAGGTGGCTGAGGTCTGTCCTCTTCCTCTATCTTCCTTGTCTAGCTCTCCCCCATCTCCTCTCTTCTCCATTTGCTGACCTGGTTTTTCCTCTGAAATTCCTTTAAAGGATATACTTTTGGTTAAACTCAAAATAATAAAACTTTAGGAATTTTGGGAGCCCTTGTTTCACTCAAGACTCTCACAGATAGCTTTTTACTGTGCTTCTCTCATCACTGTGCCTTTGGGTTCCTGGATGGAATTTCAATGTGTATGTG